AGGGAGGCGCCTCCGGCCGTTGGGCGACGGCCATAGCGGTCAGAATGCTCGGCTTCGACGAAGGGATGTCGCGAAGTTGTCGTTGTTGAAAGGGTCAAGTAAGCAGGGGGTCCCCGAGCTTGATTGAGCTGTGGGCCTAAGCTGCGGGCCAGAGGTGCGGGCCCCAGACGTCATTTCAGCCTCGGCAAAAGCTCGTCAACTGTCACCACTCGGCTGCGTCTTCAACCTCTCTCCTCTGCACATCCCTCACGCCATCAATCATATTGGGGTTGCGGTGGCAAGTCCCAAACTCAATGCGACACCATGCCGGCCGATAGGCTCCTCAATACCGTCCTGCAGTATTACCAGGACGTCCACGATGCTGCCAAGACGGACCAAATCATTGGCAGCACCACCCATCTGCTCACCCAGCTCTCCAACCCGCTCAACCTCGGTGTCCTCACCTCGCAGCTTCTCACAGCCCCAGCCATCTGGCACCGAAACGACGGAGCGAAAACGGCGACACGAATAATCAGCATCTACCACAGCGCGGCTGTTCGTGTACGCGACAACCAACTCGAGGGCGCCAAACCAGAAGGCCGGCCTGAGGGTGGACGTCTTCGATGCGATGAATGGACGCGAGCCGTGGTCAAGGGGGCCGATGAGAGGTCGAGGCGATGGCAGCACCTGCTCGTCTTGACTGGCGTCCTTATGGGCATGGAGGGACATGATCGACACTCCTTGTCAAGAGCGTTGCGCAACACATTGGAGCAGGCCGTTGTTATGGCGGCCAATCTCGCTCTAGAGGGAAACGTCGAAGATGGCCCTGCGGCTGCGGTGTCCGTTGTCACCGCTCTGAATTTTGCGTTTCCTATATTATCCGACTTTCACAGAGCTCAAATCAATTGTGATGCGTTGCTGCCCATCGCCGTTTGGGCAATTACTGGAGAAGAAGGCTTTTGCGATGCGCAGTTTCTCAGAACAGTGAGTCAAGATACCACATTGCAGCCGGGCCACGTCTTGTCCTGGCCTGAACGGTCCTCGTCATGCCAGCTGTTGCGGCAGATGGAGAAGCAACCTTTAATGGCGAACATGGGCCCGCTCTCCAAGATGGCAGCCTTTGCTGTGCAGCACGCAACCGATACAACCGCGGTGATGCAGGCGCATGATGCGTTGTTGGTGTTCACCGCCAGAGTTTTCGATGCCTGGCAAAAGAATCGCTTTAGCGAGCTTGACGCGTCTCTTGAAAGTTCTCATTTGAGTCCTGAGACGGCGCAAACCACCTGGCCATTGCTATGGCAAGTCTTCAGGAAGCTCATGTTTGGAACCACGGCTGTTCTGCAGGCCATTGTTGCTCGCAGTTTGCTGGATCCGCACATGTTGGTGCCCGGCTTGGCTGCCGGCATCGCCGCCAAGTCGTTGCAAATCCTGCGGAACCTCTTCTTCATCTCCAGCCGTGACGGAAATAGCTCGTTTCAAGTATACACATTCTCGTATATGACTTCTATCGACGTGCTTAGCCGAGATGGCCTAGCTACCGAGGCATTTCTTCGAGAGATCCGACCTGCCGACGCAA